TTACTTAAGATTTACTTTTAGTTTTTTTTTTTTTTGGCTAAAAAATTACTTAAAATTTTTCTTAAAAAATGGAAAACACTAACCTCTTGGTTGCGGTATGAGGCGTAGATGTCGAGGCGGTCATAGAAAATTCCGATCTTGTCGTTTGGATTGCGAGAAGAGAGAGTGACTTGGAGATTTGAAGTTAGCAAATTTGATTGTGAAAAGTTGAAGTCGGAAATGGTTACGTCTTGTAGAACAAAACGCGGTCCGTGCYGGTGAAGAATGGCCCACACCAAGAAAACCACAAACGCAACCGCAGCGATCAAACCCAACAATGCCCATACTACGAGCCTCCTCGTCTTCCACTCGTGTTCGTCGTCGTGGTGGTAGCATTCTTCCGTCATTGTAGCGTTTTGGTTGGAGAGAGATTTTTGTTTGTTTGCTTTTGGTGGGTGAAGAGGAGTTTTGAGGGATATTTATGTAAGTGGATCCCCTTGTGATGAAATGTATCGTAATTATGAATTAATCCTATGTTTCTATTGTAACCATATTATTAAGTTATCACAACCTACAGTCTTGACTTTTTTTTCAATTTACTTTTAACTTTATGCGAAATTCGGAAAAGCTGTCTTTATCAACCATGAGCAAGTTAAATAAAATTTCCACAATTTTTGGTTATAATTATTAATTACCACGAAAAGCACTTTGGAGATGAGAGACGAACCTTCTTTATGCAGCGACACATCGTTTTTATGTTCTTCTAATTAGTAAGAAATTAAGAAACAAATAATCTGACGTATTTTATCAGTTATATGTTGTGACAAAATTTGCTCTATGTATAACTAAAGTGAAATATTCTATATATGTATTTATGTATTACTATTTTTTATCGATTATGATGATATTATATATCTTTCTTTTTTTTTTATATTTGAACTCATCTGAAAATTATTGTGGGCCATTCTTCACCCGAACGCACCTATATATTGATTTTAACTCATCTGAAAATTGCAATGTTAATTATTTTTTTAGGTGCGCACTGATGCACATGATTGTTGTGGTGTAATCTTATGAGTGGGTCGGACCACTAAAACAAACCATTAAAAATGAGATCGAACCATGTGGGAGTCTTGAAAAACTGTTTCCGAAAAAAACTCTTAACGCTGAACTAAGTATTATCATTAATGTTATTC